TCGTTTAATTGGCCAAAAATTATTATCATATTGCATATTAGTGATTGCACGAATACACATTAATATAATCTAGAAAAAAAATCTGATTATATCAAGTAAATTGCACCAAAGTCCTTATTACTTGTCTAATTTCCAAAAATAAGCCCATGTACGATAAAGAAAAAGAAAAAAAATGAAGCAACGAAAAAAATAATACATCTTCAATTATCTCACACACACGCACTGTTCAGGCAACCGCCGCCAGCGCCACGCCATCCGCCATCTGCACCCCGTCATCAGCCACCCGATTCCATCCCCCTACAACCGTCATTCACCCGACGCCTCCCGCGTTCTGTCGTCTCCCTCATCTCCGTGCAGTCACCGCCGTCGTCTGTCATCTTCCCCATCTCTGACAGATCTCTTCACTGCACAAAATTCAAAATTTTTACTGCGTTCTCGGCAGCGACGAGAGTGAAGGAGCTGTGGAGACGGCGTCTTAGTGGCGATGGGCGAGAGCCGACGTGGCCGGCGGAGGTTTGTCGTGCCTCCGGCGTCTGCAACGTCGCCGGTGTGTCTCGCCTCCGGTGTCCCGCTGTTTGCTGTGGCTGACCGGTGAAGGCTTGGTTCTTGTCGGCTGCAACATGACTGGTGGCGGAGGCGACTGGTTGCAGACGTCAGATAACGGAGGTTATGCAGGTACAAACGGAGGGCATTGCGTGGCAAAGCTCTGGTTGTCGAAATGTGGGCGCGAAACAGATGGCTGTTGGCGGAAGTCTACGGCGATGTGGGGGACTGGTTGCTGGTGGCCGGAACTGTCTGTGTGTGTGTGCGTGTATTTGTGTGTGCATGTGTATGTGAGAGAGAGTGTGTAGTGTGTGTTCTGTGCGTGAGGGTGACAATGCGAGAGATATGTTGAGGAGAGAGAATGTGGTGAAATGATTTGGAGAGTGGGTCCCACTTGATATATGTGTATTGACTAATTTATCCTTAATTGTTGGTCAAATGCACATATATGACCACAATATGATCAAATAATTACCAGATTGCCATTAATGATTGACCATAGTTTGACTTCATCACAACCATTGATATGTTGGATCCAATGATACAGATTTATTATCATTTCTTTCAATATATATCATTCTCATTGGATCCTAAATCTATATATATTATGTATTTTCAACAAAAAAATATAAAATATTAAGTAAAAATATTAAAATAATAAATATATTTTTATAATATAAATAATACGTATTTTAGTTATTTAGATTAATTCGATTAATTAATCGAATAAATTGATTATTTCATTCGAATTTAATTTGAATTTGCACATAAAAAGATACCCACAATGCAGGATGCACAATAGTGATAAACAAGATGTGTTTAGTGACTGACAGACTGCACAATTGTGAGAGACCAAATGCGCATTAATGTGTTTGAGATTGCACATTATCATATGACAGCGTGGGACAAGAAAAAAAAAACGTTGTATACTAGTGTGCATTTTAACATATATTAAAAAATAACTGCACTCGAAGTGCACATTAGCGTTAGATTGATTGCACATTAGTGAATGTAAGATTACGCTTTGACAATCAAAAATTGCCCAAACTAAATTGGTGTGTTCTAGTTTTATTTTTTGATCAATTTTGTGTTGTTACTTTTAAAATTTTGATTATTTTGGTTCGAGTTCGGCTTTATTTTTTAAAATAACCAAACCGAACAAACTATATAAAAAATTATTATTTTGTTATATATATATTAGGTCTTTACAACAATAAAATAATATAAAATATTAACTAAAAACGTTAGAATACAAAATATATTTTTATAATACAAATTCTAAATTATTTTGATTATTTAGGTTAAATCGGTTTACCAATCAAATAAATCATTATTTTGCTCTTAGTTTAGATTGGGGCAAATAATAATTGCACTTCAAGTGCACAATAACGTTAGACGAATTGCACATTAGGAGTGACAGATTACACTATAGCGATCGAAACCGACCAAACTAATATTTTGGTACAAAATTTATATTTTGATTTGATTATTTACTTTTAAAATTTGGGTTATTTCAGTTCGATGTTGGCTGTATTTTTTAAACTAACCAAATTGATTTATCTATTATGCAATCAATATAGTTATTTATATGCAATGAAATCGCTATGTACTATTTATCTTAACCAATGATCGAATTTTAAAACATAATACCTTTATCTAACTTATGGTTTAATATTATATACATAAATATAACTTATAATACCATATGTTTAAAATATAATACCATTATCTAATTTATAATTTTAATATTATATGCATACAAATAACTTATAATACTTTATTTATATCTGTGCAAATGCACATAGTCCAATACTAGTGAATCTTTAAAGTGCATATATACACACACTAATGTGAAATTTAATTATCAGTGTTGTGCAATTATTAAAATGTTACTAAATCTATATATATATAATTGTTGGCTAAAGCATTTAATAAAACCTCATTTCCATTTTCCTCCAAAAACCGTTACAAACTTTATTATTTATATATCTCTCTCTATATATTTAATTAGTAACAATAAATTTAATAATATTAATTATTGTTTACCATCTTTTTATGTTACAATCTTCTATTATTATTATTATTATTATTATTATTATTATTATTATTATTATTATTATTATTATCTATATATATACTTTATTATATCATATAATAGTTATTATTAAAACTAATAACTATAGTTTCTTACACTAAATGATATATGAAAAATACATAAACATAAAAAATTATTGTAAATTTTTTGCTAAAGTTATTTCTAAAATTAATATTATATTTTTTTATCTTATTTAGCTATTGTGTTTTTAAATAAGTTAATTTACTTTAATGTTATAGTAAAATTTCTTAAAATTGCATAATCAAATGTTATAATAAAGTTAATATTTTTAAGCTAATAAATTGGCGATCTCTCAAAATTACACTCTTTATTATTTTTATGTAATTAATATAGTGGTTCATATGCAATCAAATAGTTATGTACTATTTATTTTAACCAATGATCAAATTTTAAAACATAATATCATTATCTCTAATTTATATTTTTATTATTATATTCATAAATATAACTTATAATACTCTATGTTTAGAATATAATATCATTGTATAACTTATAATTTTAATACTATATGCATAAATGTAACTTATAATATTCTATTTACACTGTGCAAATCAGGATCAAATACTAGTTCGTATAAAAGATAATAGTATTTTAATGTGCATATATACACCCCCATAATGTGAAATTTACTTATCAATATGATGCATTTATTAAAGTTTAATAAATCATAAATTTAACCCATGTACTAAATTGAAATGTAGTTAACTTTTTAAATTTGCATACAAGTCCTTGAGCCTTATCAAATTTTCAAAATGTAGCCACTAAACCCCTCATCAACTCTGTCAAGTGGCCGATTTCTCCCCCATCTTTGTATAGTAAAAGTACAAACCACTCTCTCGTCTTCTTAAATCAGTTGACCTATTGAAACCAAGTTCTATCTAAACTCTAGAACAATAAGCAAATTTTTGAGAGAAAGATGGTTAATCAACTTAACTTCTCTAATCTTTGTTACTTTAATGTTTGCTCCATTAGGTAACTTTATTGTGATGGGTATTGAAATACTTACAAGATTGATAGCCACTCCATAATTGCAACAAATATGTCTTCTACCTCCAGTGTCCACAATCCAACTTGCTTCTTCCAATCCAAGTAATTCAAAAAAAGAGAGTACAAAATATTTAGTGTTACTTGAATCAGATAGTTGTGTTCAAATTTATATCAAAGCCGTTGCTGCACTTGATATGATGATTAATTTTATAATAGTTCTTAAGTTAGCAAAAATGCGGAGAAGAAAAGATTTATATGCTTTCTGGTGTAAAAACGAAATGCGGAAGAGATTTGGGGCCGAAAAGAGAATTTTAGAAATTAATCCCTACCACAACTCCAGAGATTCAAACGGCGATCCTCGCGTCTTCCCCACACTGGCCTGGATTCTTCCTTGACCGCTGCTCTCTTTTTCCCCAAAAAGAACAAGAAAATTTCCGCTCTTTATTTTATCAATGTATATATGGATTTTCAACTTCTAATTTTATTTGAATTTCTCATTCTCTTTCCTCGTTACATTTCACCCATCTGCCATTTTCGTGCCAATGATTTTAACAGCAGCTACGGCGAAAACAAGAATCGATTGCTCGTCTTCGCGAGGGATTTCGTTCCAAACATTCATTATATAGGAATATTGTTCTTTTCTTTTTCTTGTTTATATGTCTGAACCCCGAAAAGTTGGAAGCTTGACAAAGGATAGACGCGTGGGATTGATAATCCAGAGGGAACCAATTTCCCAGAATTTATGGAGGTTATTTTACGGAAAACTGATGATGTGTTTGAAGGAAAATCCTTTAGAATGTTTATCTGTATGCATATAAACTATAATATGAGAATGTCTGTGCATGTGCTGCATGCAAAAGGCCTGCTATATACGTGGTGGCGTATACAGATGATTTGTCCCTGTAGTCATTATTATCATTTTAATTAGATGAGGGATTTGTTCGCATTGTGAATTGGAATGATTGATGGTGACCTTTTCTGCCTCGTTTCATGTTTAAGAACATGTTTGTTGAAACCAACGCAAATTTGATGAGATTCGCTCCCCAAACTTCCGAGTACTAATTTGCGTGAGTTGTTATGTTCAAGAGTAGAGATTTTGTGAAATTCTATCAAAAGTCGGTCCTCATTTTTAAACAATTCTCCATCTATTTGAAATTTATTACTCGGTATAGAAGTTTGGTAATGTAGTTTCCAGGTATTAGATGCATATGATGCTACAAGTCTAATTCTAACATGGAAGGGAACTTTTCTTGATCTTCTATGGCATTTGGATGAATAACGTGACACTCTAATTGCCTGTCATTTGCTTTCTTACAGTCATATATACCTGTAGTTATTCAGTAACTGGTAAAAGATGGCATCACACTTTTCCTTTGCTTCAAATACAGATGAATGCCGGCTCGACAGTTTAGACATGGACACCAAAAACTCCCACAACACGGTGCCAAAAACTAACACCCGTATGGGCAGGGCTCCGCCGTGCGAACCCATAACCGTAGATCTAAATCCTCCCATGGCCCACAAAACATCCACAGATCCCAGCCCAACCCCAAGCATATCCCCCTGCATGTCAACAGCCAAAAGCAGCCCGTCGGCCCTTAGTCAAGGGTGGAGTAGCAGCAGGAGTGACAGCCTGGACAGCACATGTGCGCCACTCAGACCCCACACTGGCGGTGACGTCAGATGGGACGCCATTAATGCAGCCTCCTCAAAAGATTCGCCGCTGGGTCTCTCAAACTTCAGGCTCTTGAAGAGGCTCGGTTATGGGGATATCGGGAGCGTGTACCTGGTCGAGCTGAGAGGGACGTCGGCCTTTTTCGCTATGAAGGTTATGGACAAAGGGTCGTTGGCCAGCCGGAACAAGCTGCTGCGGGCCCAGACGGAGAGGGAGATTCTTGGCCTTCTCGACCACCCCTTTTTGCCCACTCTGTACACTTATTTCGAAACCGACAAATTCTATTGCCTGGTGATGGAGTTCTGCAGCGGGGGTAACCTCCACACGCTTCGGCAAAAGCAGCCTTACAAACATTTTACTGAGGAAGCTGCTAGGTTATTTAACTTCTATAAATCTTGAAAGACACTTTTACTCTCTTTGCTAATCGAACTTCCTTGTTTTTATTAGATTTTTCGCGTCGCAAGTGCTGCTGGCGCTCGAGTACCTCCACATGCTAGGCATCGTGTACCGAGACCTGAAACCGGAAAACGTGCTCGTTCGCGAGGAAGGCCACATAATGCTCTCCGACTTTGACCTCTCCCTCCGCTGCTCCGTCTACCCAACCCTCGTCAAGTCCTCCTCCGTCCACTCTCCTTCCGCCACATCAGACCTTCCCTCTTCCTCTGCCCTCCTCAACGACGACAACGCCATCCGAGGCTGTATGCAGCCCTCCTCCTTCCTCCCTCGTCTCCTCCCTAAAAAAAACCGCAAATCCAAGTCCGACTTCGGCCTTGGCACCGGCCACAACACGAACGCACTTCCCGAGCTCATGGCCGAGCCCACCAACGTGCGCTCCATGTCGTTTGTAGGGACACACGAGTATCTTGCCCCTGAGATCATCCGTGGTGAGGGCCACGGTAGCGCGGTGGACTGGTGGACATTCGGGATTTTTCTCTATGAGCTCCTGCACGGGACGACCCCTTTCAAAGGGGCTGGGAACAGGGCCACGCTGTTTAATGTGGTGGGCCAGCCGCTGAAGTTCCCTGATGCGCCTCACGTGAGTCTCCAAGCGCGGGACCTCATCAAGGGGCTGCTGGTGAAGGAGCCACAGAAGAGGATTGCGTACAAGCGTGGGGCTACGGAGATCAAGCAACACCCGTTTTTTGAGGGGGTGAATTGGGCGCTGGTGAGGTGTGCGGCGCCGCCGTATGTGCCGGAGCCGGTTGACTTTGCGCAGTTTGCGAGCAAGGAAACGGATAGGAAGATTTCGGAGAATGTGGGGATGGAGAAGAAGAAGAGCAGCTCTACTGATTCTTCTTCTTACGTTGAGTTTGAGTATTTTTGATTTTTTTTTTTATTGGTTGTTGTTGTCTTGTACATCTNTTATTTTTTTTAAAGAGATTGGTTTGTAGAAAAGGGACTGGCGAAGTTGTTGTGGCCAGTTTTTGTCGTGGTCTGGATTTATTGGGAAAGAAATAAAATATTGAATGGACATTAGGTGGGGTTTTCTGTATGAATTATGAAGTTCTTGTGTCTGGGAGTTGAAGAATGTGAGTCGTGTTTCTGAGGTTTTAATTGGGCTGATATTGGAAGTCGCCTGAGTTTTAGTTTGCAACGAAAACCATTCTTATGAACAACGAACATGAGTTTTATTTAGGGGCCTTGTGAATATTGAGTCATTTGTTAGATTGGTGATCATTTTCATTGTTGCATCTTTTGTTATTGGTAGCGTGTGAAAATTTAAGATATCAAAAGTTATGTTTGTCCGACATATTATCATGTATTGGGCTGTTGTAATATACTAATATAAGCCTGATTTGTGGGCAGCATTTTCATTTGAGCTAACTTCTGAAAATGAGTAGTACACAAATATTCATATGGTTTACAGGTGGTGAAATCTTGAACTTGTTCAACGAAAAAAGAAAAAGAAATGAACAGCAAGAAGGAAAAGAATAAAATCTTGAACTTGTTCAACGAAAAAAGAAAAAGAAATGAACAGCAAGAAGGAAAGGAATAAAATGAAAATAATTATTATCGCTAGAAGGAGGGCTTGAACCTCCGACCTTGTGGTTAACAGCCACACGCTCTAACCAACTGAGCTATTCCAGCTTGTTTTTCCATAAAGCAAGATATAGAGACAAGAACGACTAAAAGCTTTGACTTATAAAAACTATGTTTATCGAAAAGTCAAGCCCTTGATTAGCTCGATTTTTTTTTTTGGTGAGACGTATCTATCATTTGTTTGCTTCAAAATTTATCCAAATTTTAGTCCTCATTTTCAAGTCCAGCGCCCGTGATCGCACCGAGTAATAATTCATATAAATTAAAATAGTGAATAAATATCTATTTGTAAAAAATTGTTTTGAAGTGTGGATTGAAGGTAAAGAGACTAAATAGTAAATGGTGGTTACCGGAATCTTACATCCTTTTTATCTTTTCTATAATATATAACCTTTTAATGCATAATTTATATGTGTATTTCACTTTATAAAATAGTTTTCATTTTAGAGTTATTTTTTAGAATTAAAAAATATGAAAAATTAATATCAAACATTATTAATAAATAATACTCATAACAATATTTCTCTTTTTTCCCTGTATGTCTTTTTACAATATATTATTTTAATTTTTAAATAAGTAATGATAAAGTTGAAAGTTTGTGGCAAATATATAAAGTGACACTTAATTTAAAACGAATGTAGTTTATATAAATTACAGTTATGAAAATTACTAATTTTTAACTATGTTACAATTATTTAGTTATAAAGTGACACTTGATATTTTTTTTTTTGAGCTGCTCGAGCTTGTCGACTCGATTTTTTAAGCTCGAGTTCGACTTGATAAAAAATTACAATAGCTCGAGCCGACTCGAATTCAAAATATTCGAGTTCGGTTCGAAAATATTCAAAAAAATTTGTCAAATTACTATTAAGTATATATATTAATATTATGATACATGTATATAAGGGTATTTTAGTAATTTACCATATATCTCGAGTCGCTCGCGAGTTGCTCAATAATGTAAAATATGGGCTCGAGTTCGGTCAAACTCAAACTCGTGTCGAGCTTTGACTTGAGCGCTCTCTAGCGGCTCACGTGTGCATCCCTTTTTTTCTGATAAGGAGGCCGGAGCCTAAAAACCTCTAGATAGTAATATTTTGTGGATGAGCGACGCAAAAGACGTCGTGCGTTAATTGTGGCTTATTTTATGAATCAAGTAGTCTCTAGCAACCATTAGGACATGAGTGAACTAAGTTCGCCAAACAATATGTTGCAAAATTTGCCTCACAGTGCACAATATTCACGGTCCATTCTCGCTTGAACATCTGTCCTAAGCATCCCTTTTGATTAATCATTTAAACACCCTTTTGATTAGTCTCGTGTGGGCTAGTACACTAGTTTGGAAGATAAAGTTCGACAATATTAAATTAATACGTGCAAATATTTGCTGATGTACGCGTGGTAATTACGCAACACGTGGAGAAGAAACAGAGTACCTTCACGCCACGAAGCACCCACCGTGGATAAGCATTGTCCCCATTCAAACATATATACATGGGGTTTACTTTACTCGCATCTCGGAAACCAATTGAAAACTATCTATCATACAGCCATCTCTGAAAAGGAATTAAAGCCAATAAGAAATCAAAATCACCGGAAAGAGCACCATGTCTGGGGCGCAGGGAGCACAGCCGCCGGAGTCATTCACGGCGACAACGTACGAGTCCGTGGAAGGCGGCCAGAACAAGACGCGGCTGGACATCCACTCCAGGGAGGACGAGGGTGGGATTCAGATCGACAAGATCCAGGATAAGGTTGAGGACGCCGCCGGCACCGGCGGCCCCGTTTTCGGCGCCGGCAAGGACGAGGACAAGGACGATCTGGGCGTCACTGGCACCGCTGCTTAGCAAAAAATAAAAAAAACTAATGTTGACCGTTCTTATTTTTTACTTATCTGTTTGACCCTCTTGTTGTTTGTCCTTTTCTTTCCGGTTTAATTCTATAAGGTGTTTGTTTATATTTTGTGCGTGTGTAGATTCCTGTTGTTGTGTGCGTCTAATGTTTATGGTGGATGTGTATAATGAAGTTGTTTGTTTANATTTCAACACCGTGGTTGTATCACGATATTATCAGGGTTTTTTACCCTCCCAAGCCGAAGGCAGCCTCTTTTTTTTTACCAAAAAAAAAAAAAAATATTGAAGGCAAATGTTTGAGATAGCAAAGATCTCAGTGTAAGCCCGTCACTTAAGATTAATATATCAAGAAATCAGGTCCAAAACCATGGAAAAAAGATGGATCCATAGAATGACCATTCGCTGAATTTTCCCATCTGATTATGGGGACATTGAGCGTTCATGGTGCCAAGTGATGCATCCGATGGACGTCATCGGATGTGGGGTTGTGTAGATGGGCTTGATGGGAACATAAAAATTGGGATCCACTGCACCGAGATGCGAATGAAAGTCGGCAAGTCTTAGAGGTCAAGCTTGCCTAATTTCCTAGTTTAGCATAGGTGTTCCATTATTTTGATAATTCTTAGGAGTTGGGAAATAGATATTTACTTTCTTTAGAATTAGAATTTATCTTCTTATAGGTTTAGTATTTCTCTTTCTTTAAACACTAAGCATCTTTGATTTCATTAAGCAATAAGAAAAAACAAACACACTCTTTCGAGCACAAACTCTTGTGTTAATTAAGGTCGTTAGTGCGCTGATATGGGATACTGTACCTGTGAATAAATTCAGTAAACTGCTCGACCAGACCAAGAGTCGGCTCTTGCTGACGGCGATCGAATATTGTCGAAGGAGAGCTAGAGTCTCGTGATCGAAGGCAGCATTCAGATTACAGAAAATCAATGACAGGTCAAGTTAGGGTCCTCGTAAGGCTTGCTGGAAATTCGACCAGCGAGCGCGATCGATCAGAAAGGGCAACACTTGGTCTCATAGCAGGTGATATTCTACCTTAGTGGATATCGAGCAGGTCGAGCTATTAGACGGTCTAACAAGAAAGATTAAAAGATAAGAAAGTATCTTGAGGGGTTAAGAGTCGCACGTGGATAGGGTCACGTGGCTAACAGAATTAGGTAGTTCGGGCAGCTCGAGTTGTACTATCGGGCAACTTGGGCACTTCGGGCAGTCTTGGGAAACAAGGTATCACCTCCCTATATAAGGGAGTGAGGTATGCTTATTATATATCATATTACATTCTCTATTATTCCAAACACTATTTTCTACATTGGAGGCTCTTCACTAGAAAACACCTCTGATGTGAGAGTTTTTGCAGGTCCGCAGGCGATTTACCGACGAGGAAGCTTGAGCTCAAACCGATTCCAGTCGGTCCAAGGTCTATTGCGTACTATTTTGATACCGTCTGTGGGACTTTCGTGCGAAAAGTTGTGTTCACCATAGCTATGGCCGATGAAATTCCCATAAAAAACTTGGAGCAGACCTTTCACGAGGAGTGGCCGAGTTCTCATCGATTCGGAGTAGGTCCACCGCCGAGCTTCTCTGGACCTTCACATACCTTGGTGACCCCAATGCCTCGTCCAACGGGTTTAGGGGGTTTATCAGTGGTCTTGACCGACGTTGCAGGCTCGAGCAAAGCGCAGGAGGCTCGAGCAACCCAGGGCGTGGTGGTTCCATTGTCGCCTCAAGCAAATCTAGCTTCGACACTGCAAGGAATGGACATGGGGCCACCAAGGATCGAGGTGGAGCGAACTGACCATCAATGGTCACGATGTCAAGCAGGAGTTAGAGCAAATGATCGCAAATGTTGTGGCGGCCGGAGCAATTTAGCAGGCTACTCACCACACTTCCCAGGCTACCACCGCGCTGACCACGGTGATGGGAACACACCAGCAGGAGACGGAGATGGGTGAGTCAAGCAATGGAGAAGGAGACGGTCATAAGGATCGAGCTTTTGAGAGGATGGCGGAGCAGATTCGCCCATTGCAGGCCAAGGTGGATGGTAGGCCAGCTGGTCGAGCTAAGGGACACCCCTTTGCCCGTCAAATTCTTGACGCGGTGTTGCCAACCAATTTTTGGGACATACAAGTTAAAATATCATTTTATAATCCACAAAATTCTTCAACTTAATTGATATTTTAACTTATAATATGTTCAGTAAGCCCAAACCCAATTTCTTAAACCCCCA